GTGTTTGTTAGGGCAAACGCACTTAGAGCCTCATCAATGTTTGCGATTGAGCTGCGATGATCTTACTGAGTACTACTATACCTTCGAGGTATCCGCCCAGAGAGCTGCTCGAAACGCCATCAGGATGCCACTGCCTAGGAGTGCCGTGCAAGGTTTCCGAGCCTTTGACAAGCGTTTGGGAGCAGGTCCTTTCTACGTGTGTTTGGCCACGATGGCCATGGGCGATGCCCTGCCCAGCAGTCTCATCACACCGTGTTGTCATCATTAGCAAACGCAATGAGGCCTACGGAGATTGCAGCATATCGCTTGCCTTATCCTCGTGGAGACACGGCTGAGTACCTGGCTGTGGATGATCACCTAGTTGCCCAGAAAGTTACGTTTCCCGAGCTCCGGTCCCAAAAATTTTTAAGAGAGACTCAGAGATCTTCCGTGACTCAGAGCGTGCGTACACTTCAGTTCGCTTGGTGCAGCGCCCGAAGAAGCGGAAGCGCCATGAAACCTCGGGGGTGTACTTGGGGGCAGACGTTGACGGCATAGCCGGGCTGGTCTCTGCGCCGCGGCGCCGCATCGGTGTTCTCATGTTGATCACTGCCGAAGTGGTGCGCCGCGGGAGCTGCTCTGCCAGTTTTCTGTCCTCTTTGCTTGGGCTCTGGGTCCACGTCCTCCTTTTTCGGAGGCCTGCATTCTCGCTTCTTTCCATCTGTTTCCAGGAAGCTTGCCACGTACCTCGTGACGAGGTCTTCCGATTGGACCGGCGTGCGTTGAACGAACTGCAGTCGCTTTCCTTGCTTGCACCTTTGCTTCAAGCGGACCTGCGCGTGCAATACTTGCCTCACATCTATGCGATGGATGCATCGCCCAGCGGTGCTGGAATATGCATCGCGGACGTGCCTACCCATGTATCCCGGGAACTCTGGCGGCGCGCAGAGCAGCGCGGTTACTACACTAAACTGGAGTCACCCGCGGCGGCCTTGCTGCGGGAACAGGGGCATAACTGCGAAGCTGTTTTCGGCCCTCCGGATGCATCCACTGCGCTGTTGATGTCAGGTTTCGTTGCACCTGTGCCCAAGAACTTGGCTGAAGGTTTGATTTACGACACGGTTGAAGTGTTTTCCGGTGAGGGAAACTGGTCTGCTGCACATCGGGCAGCCGGCCTCGAGACTCATCCGGGCATAGATATCGCTGGCCGCAATCTCCGTGTCATGGACATCCTGGATGATGCCGTTTTTCATGAAGTGCTGAGCTTGGCTTTGCGTCGTGTCGCCCGCGAGTGGCATGGCGCGCCGCCTTGCCTGACCTTCGGAACCCTCAGACGGCCTCGTCTTCGATCCAAAATTAAGCCCCACGGTTTCCGCCCTAATGACCCCCTCACCTTAACCCATAATCGCATGGCTCAGCGCACTGGGTTTCTGTTTTGTGTGGTTGCTAGGTTAGGAGGTTTCTTTAGTGTGGAGCAGCCCGGTTCTTCGGTGATGTTTCGCCTGCGCATCTTCGGAGTGCTTGCCTCGCTCGGAGCGGTCCTGACACGCTTCTGTTGCTGTTCGTACGGATCTCCCTTCATGAAGCCGATGCAGTGGTTGCACAACAAGCCCTGGCTAGTTCCGCTGGCCGGTGGCTGCACGTGCGCGCGTAAGAACAGGCGCTTGGTTATACAGGGTTCTTTCACTGCTGAGTACCTTGCCGAGTTCAATGCCCGTTGCAAGCCTTCTGCCACCGCTGTGTTCGGCCGGGAGCCGAGATTGGGCGAGCCAGTTGCTGCCTTCTCAGCTTCTTACCCGTTGCCCTTGTGCCACCGCATGGCTTCCGGCAGCCGCCAGGCAAAAGAGGGCAGTTGTGCTGTGCTGCCTCTTTCCCTCCGCGCCTCGGCTGTCACCGCCTTGTCAACTGTTTCTGCTTGCGAGTTACCTGACTTTAGCGAAGTTGAGGTTGAGCAACGGCTCTTTCATGATGATCCTGAGTGGATCAATGATCTAGCCGAATCCTTGCCCTTCCGCGAAGTGCTCAGGTACAAGTTTGCGAGGCAAAATCACATCAATGTTCAGGAAACTCGCACCTACAAAACCTGGTTAAAATACCTGTTCAAGCACCGCCGTAGGTCACGTGCTGTTGGCTTGATCGACAGTCGCGTGTTGCTTGGCGCGTCTGCCAAAGGGCGCTCCAGCAGCCCGGCTCTTGCTCACGTTCTTCGCACGGCTTTGCCGTACATCCTTGGAGGCGGTTTGTATCCTGGAGGTTTGCGCGTGTGCTCTGCAGCCAGCCGTAGTGACGGTCCTTCCCGAAACCGTCCCGTCGATCCTCCCTCCAAGCCTGTGCCGCTTTGGTTTGACCGCCTGTGTGAAGGGGACCCTTACCTCTTCGACGTGTGCCTTGCAGCCTCTGCCGTTCCTAAGCAAGCAGCGCGGTGGCTTCGGTTTTTGCTGCTGCTCGCTGGCGACATAGAGCGTAATCCCGGCCCGGCGCCTGTGCCTCGCGGCCCTCTCGACTTGACGTCCGGCTTTGCAGCTTCCACAAACCACAAAATGCACAACAGCCTTGAAGCATTTGCTCTCTGGCTCCGCGAGGAGCTCGGTCTGTCATTGCACCAGGCCCTGTCTTCTGTGTCTGCTGCCGCGCTTGCTCTTAGGGGTTACGGTTTGCACTTGTACGCGGCAGGCTTGCCGCGTTACCTCCTTGTCTATGCCATCACCTCAGTTCAGGACGCCTGCCCTGAGTATCGTAATCATCTCACGCCTGCATGGCAAATCGATAAAAGGTGGCAGCACGCTGAACCCGGCGAATGTCGCCCAGTCATCTCCCAGCCTATTCTTCAAGCCGCTGTTAGCGTAGGGTTGCTTTGGGGCTGGGGTGATTGGGTTGCAGTTACGCTTATAGGTTTCGTGTGCATGCTGCATCCTGCAGAGTTGATTGCCTTGCACCGCCGTGACTTGATCTTACCAGCTGACGCGATGACTTGTGATCGCATAGCGTATGTGCATGTTCGTAATCCTAAGACGGCAAGGTTTGCCCGCCGCCAGCATGCTCGGCTGGACGACGAACTTGTTCTCAGATTCATCGAAGCCCGCTTCGGGACGCTGCCCTTGACTGAAAAGCTTTTCAGAGGTTCCATGCATACTTACCGTAGGCAATGGAATGCGATTATGCATCACCTGGGTGTTCCTTACACTCAGGCAGCCAAAGGGGCTACTCCCGGAGTGCTCCGGGGTTCCGGCGCGACTTTCTTGTATCTTGAAACAGAGGACGTTCAGCTTGTTGCATGGAGGGGACGGTGGAGCAAACTCAAGACCGTTGAGTTCTACCTCCAGGAGGTAGCTGCTCAGCTGCTGCTCCAGCAGCTGTCAGCAACGTCGCGGGCCAAGATAGCCATTCTGCGTAAGTATGCTTCTCGCCTTGTGGCCCTGCACTCGAATCCTCTTGATCCCGCGTAACAATATTTTCTTGTGGCTACGCCAAGTACCCTAGAAGTGGAAAGGGGTCGTTTGGTTTACGGATAGGTCGGTTTTAGGTAGACCTGGTACCTCCCTAGGGGTTCCTTATCCTTCTTTCCCTCCTTCCCTAACCCGTGCAACCCGTGTGTCCTGGCAGCCTTGTCTTTACCCAGGCCAAAATGGCTTGACGAAGTGAAGAGCGGGAATCTTTGCGAACGCGGGCAAAACGAGGCTCTTGGGATGCAAGTATCCCTTGACCGAGTGTGCTGTGAGCAACCCTCTTACGTAGTCTTTTCGGCCCCAGCCCGCCCTCCCGGTTGCCGAAAGGGGTCGTTTGGTTTACGGATAGGTCGGTTTTAGGTAGACCTGGTACCTCCCTAGGGGTTCCTTATGCTTCTTTCCCTCCTTCCCTAACCCGAGCAACCCGTGTGTCCTGGCAGCCTTGTCTTTACCCAGGCCAAAATGGCTTGACGAAGTGAAGAGCGGGAATCTTTGCGAACGCGGGCAAAACGAGGCTCTTGTCCTATCCCTTCTCAATTTTTCTTTTCGGCTTCTGGGGGACCACAAGCCGATGCACCTGTTTGTCAAATTCCAGACCATCGAGCCCTCCGTTTCATCACAGTGATTAACCTCTTCTTCACCTAATGTTACGTCATGAGTCCATAAGTTGCTGTCCATGAAAAGCTTGATGCGAATCGATGTCATTACACTGTGTGGCACGGCATTAGCTTCATGGGCTTTGTTTGGAAACAGCTTACTCTGCCTCAGTCAGTAATGCAAAGTGTGGCTTGCATGGAAACAGTTTTGTAGGCTTGGGTGCACGTGTTCCGTTCATGCAGGTCTTGAGTAGACTTGAAAATTATTTTTCAAATCCTGCAAATGATGTTTTTCACATCCTTAGAAATGAAGATGCCGACACGGGATGCCCACAGTCAGCTCATCTGCGGGATCCTGAGACCGCAGATTCGAGTGGGGTTGCGGGCTTTAATGCGCCGTTTGACGACTCCAAATCCATCAGATTTGTTGCGCCTGTTCCTTTGCGAGGTCCGACGGGAGCAGTGGTCACGCCCCCCCAGTAGTATAGTATTTATTGGTACTAAGGTGTAGTGTCCCATAGCGTTACTTTGGGCTAGAAAGATTGTATGGGCTCGTGGTTGGGTAGGGAAGTTGCCTTGGAAGTTCTTCTCGCAACGCTGTATCCAATGCCAAGAAATGTAATTTGAATAAACGACTGCGAAAGAGCATTTCGGGAACTACGCCTCGTTCCAATCACCAGCTGAAGCATCCTCTTTGGCTGAAGCTACCACTAGATGTTTTTTACGCATTGGTGACACTATCGGCGGCTCTTGAGCCATCTCCGTGCATATGCATAAGCTCGCAATACGACCATAAGGTGCGCAGATATGGATAGCCTATGATAGTCTTTAGTCTCATCCGACCCCATCATTTTTTCCTGCCTCTACTGTTGGTAAAGGTGCTGAAGTCAAGCATCAGCTGTTCCTAGCGTGGGAAATTGAAGACCAGACAAGCGCATGCAGATAGCTGCAGACCGCTGTATTTCGTGGGCACACGTCCATGGGTGGTGCGCATGGTCGCCACAGCAGGCAACACAACGCCGAGGCATGTTTAAGTTTGTCACGAGCAACGACGTAACGCCAGGCTGCATGCCCTTTCACTTTGGAAGTGACCTTGTGACCTTGTGCTTGGCTCTCCAGGCAAACCCGCGACGTTCCCGAGGGGTGCGGTCGCGCGTGCGGGCATTTTGGCAGCAGAAACAATCGCCTTTTTTTAATTTTTGCGAGCGTTTAGATTACGTGTGAGGCCTGCTTTGGCCTCGAGAGAAGGCGCATCAGCTACCTTGCTTTCAGTATTTCATGCTGAAAAGGGCAGGTGGAGGGAGGAAGATGAGGGAGGGAGAGAGGTGTGCCATTGTTGCTTTATACATTTGCATATTCTGGCATTTCCAGAGCAGCCGGTGTGCTTTCTGGATTTTTCGTTTTGAAGCTGGAGAGCCCTGCAGGGACTTGCGTCCAATCCACCCTCTGGTTGCGCCGCTACTGGAGCAGAAGCGAGCTGCCAGCGCAAGGCGGCTATGGCAGCGTCTGTTTAGCGACGGAAATTGTAGAAGAACGAAGAAAGACTAACGATCTGAGCGGGCTTTGTCTGCTGCTTATCAAAAATGTTCTAGTCCCATAGGCGTCGCATCTGCCAGCAATCTGCAGGCTTCACTGCTTGAATCTGTGCAGGCGTTACAACGTTTTGGTGTCTCAAGCTGAGGCAGGAGTTAGTTAGAAGATTCTGGACCAGGGTGGTCACCTTGCATTGAGGCGGGTGCTGTACCTGACGAAGTGGCTCATCAGATACGTCTGGATGTTGCCTCGAACTTACTTCACTTAAAGGCTCTGAGTATTCTGTGTGGCTCGACAAGGGGTGTCACTCAGGTCAGAACCTTCCCGGCCATCCCGTCCCCACATGGTGACTGGGGGTGGCCCCGTGACATCGCTTCCCAGGAGAGGAATTGGACCAACCTACACGTAGGGTCCTTGCACAAGGCACCTTGCAATGCTTCAAGGATCGGGAGGATTGCTTGGCCCGCGCTCTTCTGGCCTCGGAGTGCCGTCCTGCGCCTACAAGACACTTCGAAGAGCAGAACGATGCTTCAGCGCAGCAAACTTTGCTCCGGAGGTTCCGCAGAGTCATCCCGACCATCGAGCCCGCAGAAGTCTGGTGGCTTGTCCAAAGCTGCGCACAGGAGCGTTTTCCTCCTGTTACATTCCAAGGTCTGCCGATGTTGCTGAAGATACGTCGATCGTGGTGTGGGGTCACGGCAGAAAGTTCATCATCAACTGCCCCGCTAATGCGCAGGCAGGACAAATTCAGGAGGACCAAAAGCAAGTAAAGGAGACACATATGCTTGTCCTGCTGGTTTTATCCGTCCAAAAGCTTGATGAAAGATGGGGTGAGGCATGTAAAGGAATGGATTGCCTGCGCAGATCTGTTTTGCGGCAGGCAGTCGCTTTCTTTGGGTGCGGACGGATGGGCCGTTGACACCACCCCAAGTCTGAGCAGCCAAGCTTTGGATTCAACCGTAACATTATGCACTTTTTTATGGCTACATGGGGAACCCTTTTGAAGGGACCTATATAGGCCCCTATACTACACAGTTTCCATCTTACTTTCAGCTTTGTTCTCAATTTGAGTCTCCATTGTTGAAGGTAATATCCCTAAACGCAAAACCTGAAATAAGTTTTTCATAGTTTTTCCTAGTTTCTCTTCCATGTTCCCTACATTCTCTGCCTCTGCTGTTGAGCCCCCAGGTGATCCTATGCCAACTTATGTACAGGGCTGCAGCATGATGGCTGCTATGTGCCTGGGCTTTACGGCACCTCGACTAGCTCTAACTTTCAAGCTCGTAAATGCCACAACTGGTGAGCTGTCTTTCAGGTAGGCAGGGAAGAGGAAGGCTTCTGGCTTTTCATCCATCTTTTGGAGGCGAGGCGTGTAAATCGCGTAAACTGCTGGGCACAACCTTCGAAGTGCTTTGTGACAGGATGTCCTGGGTGCCGATTTCTTCTCTCGCCAGCCCGCACTGGTTGGCTTCCACGGAGACCGGGCAGCCGCTGCAGCAACCTGGCTTTCATCGAGGGAGGAGAGTCTGAGACTGGTCGTCTCATCTCAGCGTGCTCCAGGCTTTGGTCGCTTCGCAGAGCCCCGGGCTGGCTGAGCTGATGGGTGTCCACAGCTTGGGCGAGTCTATCTCTGCCCTGGCGCCTTCTAGCTGCATAGTGGTTTCCAGACCCTTCCCAGTCTGCCCGCGTGATGGCCATTTGCAGCACAAACGAGGTCGCGCTGTCTCCTCTCAGGATGCGTCCTGCTTCTAGCAAGCTGCACTGATCCACATTGCTTGAAGCTGTTTTAGAACTCTGATGTATATGTGCACAAAGCATATGCACATATTGCTTCTAACATTTTTGTTGTTGCTTTCTGCAATACAGCTCCCTTGCTTGTGCCGGTATCCCGTTGCCCTTTCTCTCAGTTGTTTTCCATTTTGCACTTTGCGCCTTTGGCTTTGGGGTTGTTGCTTGCTGATTTTTGCCTTCTGCTTTGAGTTTCAGTTCAAAAAATGCAGCGTTTGAGATACATCTAGTATGTGTTCTGCACCAGCGAGATCAACTGGTGCCAGCTGCACTTCACGCGTTTTACGTTGAGTCTAGGGGGTACTAATTATCACTACGGCGTTTTTCTTGGATGCCTGCCTTTTATTGGTACTACTGCTAGTACGACTACCCCTAATAGACTCGTTTGACTACTGTTGGGTCCTGGAGTCCTTGTCCTGTTTTGAACATTCTTCTGTGAGTTCTTAGATTTTCTGGCGCTACTGGTCTATTATGTGTACAATGGTTCATCAGCCTAGTCTGACCAATTAGTCTTACACGGTCACGATTGACTCATGGTCTTTATAATTAGCATGCTTAGTGAGAATGACCCTGTCACAACTATCTTTTCTCGGTTAAGCATGTTACCTTATTTGTTTTGGATGCATTAATATTGGTCGGTCATATTGTATCGCTACATGATTATACTCCCGCCTCTGCTTTGCCTTTTCAAAGCGTTGTCAGTCGATTCTGGTGCCTGTTGTCTCACTAGGTATCACTGATAACAGGAGAGTTGTTGCTTGTTTTGTTCTTATTGCTATTCTTACGCGGTTGCTGCTCTTTCCGGTGACTACTCTTGCTGCGATCGCCGTAATTCTTACCACAAATCTTACACTGTTTTCAAATTTGTTTCCGTTGCATTGGTGTTCTCTTGCTACTGTCACTGCTAGAAGTGTTATTCTCAGTGCTCTCTGTCGTACTGTGACAAAAAATACTACTAACTATTATGACTAAGGCTGCTAATTTGATGAACATGGCCATCACTTTTTGTGTCATGTGCAGGCTTTAGGAATGATGCTTCTTTTAATTACATGTGATGGTACTCATTTTCAACAAGCCTTGTCGGCATGCTGGTGCTACGGTTCTTGCTGTACCGTTTTAATTTCAGTATGGTTTTCATTCTTGCAGGGATTTCCGTGCTACTGTTTCTTGCCTGTGCTGAAGTCTGCATAAAATCAGTTGGAGCTGGCTTGTGCAAAATCTACCCCAAGGCTTCCAGATCTAGGGTAGCGAGAGATATGCTATTTAAAGGAAGGCCAAATTCCAATACCAGTAAAGCCCACTGAAAGGTTTTGGGCTACAAAATCCTTTAGACTTGGTGAAGTCAAAATATGGAGTTCCAACAAGCCCTGAAAGACCGATTTCGGGTCCCTCTGCAGGATTTGTGGGCTTCCTCTCTGGCCCGCCTCTGGTTGCCTTCTGGGAGGCCACCTTCGTGTTGGCTGCAGAGCAGTAAAGTGTTCATCATGTGGCCCAGGAACTGCTCCAGGTGCGCTGTGCGGATTTTCCCCGCCTTCCTTTGATCACCTGGTTGGCAGGCAGAAATCAGCTACTTTAGCCTTTTTACTGTCAGCATGTCATTGCTGGCGAAAGGGCTTGTTCACCACGCTGAAGGGCAGCTTGCATCAGCTTTGGTTGGTCTTTCAAGCCACTTGGCCGCTGTTGATCAGTAAGCGAAGCCAAGGGCTAAAAGACGGCAGTATGTCATAGTTGCTTCGTGCCAGCGGCTACATGGAGTTCTTTGTCCGGGAAGCTCTGCCGAGGTGATGAAGCAGTTCCGGTCTTCTTTCGGACTGTGCAGCAGGCCGTGCTCAGATCGTGCTTGCGCTCCCTTGCATCCCTGATTTGCAGCGTGGGCATATCGACTGCTAGGTTTGCTGCATTTTCCAGACAAAGAACAGCCATTCTCCGGGAATTCTTCAGGCTGCAAAAGCACTCCCCAACAACTGGCATCCCCGGATAAGAGTCTCGCGGGCGTGCGACCAAGAGCACTAGCTGCACATAGCTGCACTAGCTGTTCAGAAGGGGTGGGCGTTGATCCCGTTTGCCAAGGCCCATGCTCTGGAGCTGCGGCAGATCTCCAAGGCGAACCTTCGGTGGTTCTAGTTCTGGTGTAGTACTGTGCGTCAGATGCTTTGTCAATGCTGAGGCCGCTGCCGAGAGGTACAGGAGCACGCAGGAAGCTTTAAACCTGAAGGAGTCGCATGCGAAGAACGTCTCTGCCTCATTGGACAGGCTGGAAGGGACTGGAAGCGACTGGAAAATGACGCGCCACCGAAGGCTTGGTGCTTGTGTCAGGACCTGCTCCGCCTTGCTTGACGCCATGAAGCTGGCTGAAGGCATGGGCAGTGCTTCTGCCGCAGCTGCTGGGAGCTCGCGGGAAGCAAAAGATCATACGACGTGCTTGGGGTCAAGAACTCATGCCAAGTGCCAATCTACGCAAGCTCCCGCTCACATTGGAGATAATGCACGCAGCCATTCTGTTGTCCGATGGTATGCGATCATTTGACTGCTGCAAGCATGCGATAACACCTGGAGGAGAAATTAGAGGCAAGTAGAGGCGCGAATGTGAAACATCAACACCAAGCAAAGCCGGTGTCCAGCCCGTACTCCTGGTCCAGCACTTGCTGGCGCATCGATATCACGTAAGTCTTGGAACATTCCTTCGAAGCTGCTTTCCGCGCCAGGCCGTGGTACACTGCATCATTTCAACACTCTTCACACTTAGCTACTGCTTGCTCTGCAAGGCTGAACAAGCTGTAAGGGCCGAGATGGAGCCGCTACAATCCATGTGGTTTTAAAGTTTCATATTGTGCAATGGAAGTGTTGCAAGCGATTACGGAGGAGACCTCCACCATACTGTTCATGTGTGCTTGCAGATGCCTCAGAATGCTTCAATGATTTGTGGACTTTGTATGATGTGTAGCTTTGCGTCCGCCTGAATGCTGGCCTTGACCCCAAGGCGTTGTTTTCTTGCTCGTGCTGGCGGCAGCCTGCACAATGTTTGTGCAGGCCTCAGCACCTCCTGAAACGGATGTCAATTAGTGGAGATACTTCTCCCACAGCATCGCAGTCCCTGAGTTGGCACGAGAAGATTCAGATGACTCGGCGAAGACGAAGGCTGCATCTGGAAAGAGCCACGCCCTCAGATGTGACCCACAACAGCCCACCCTTTTTTCCAGCAACTGATGCTTCCCAGGAAGAGATGGCCGGTGCCTCGTTCCCTTCCCAATTGCGCTTGGCATCATGTCAAACAAAAATGTGGTCTTGTCGTGGGTTCGCAATGTAAGTCGGTCGCAGATAGATAGATAGATAGATAGATATATATATATATATATATTGGTTACCCTCCCAAAAGACCAGCATGGGAACTACCTCCCTTATTACCCTCCTTACGAGGGTTAGCTCTGGTATAGTCCCTATACAACTCCATATACCCTCGTACAACCCCATAGGGTCTGAATTATGGGGGATGTTTAGGGTTTAGAGTACATCCCCCATACTGATATTGTGATTCCCTTTAAGGGGGTTGTGTGGGAGGTATGGGGTTAGGACTTGGGGTTCATGATATCCCCACACCTACGCATAAGGTCTCCGTCAGGGATTATTTTGTCTACGCGTTGGGGGGGATGTATGTTGTTAGTGTCAAGAGAATACTACTATTGGATTTCTACCGAGTCTCAAAGGAGTTCAGGGATCCACACACATGCCGTGGTGTGAGGCGAAACATAAGCTGGAAGCTCCTTGGGAAAAATAGTTTAGAATTTCTTTTACTTATATAAACATAGTCTTAGTAACCAGCTGAAACATGCTGAAGCTATAATTTCTATCAGAGGTTCAGGGAACTCAGAGTAAATGTGTATCAATATCTATATCCACGTCTCTCTTCCTGGCGCGAGGCCCATGTAGATGAATTTCAGTGAGTGTGCTGCTCTGCACCAGGTCCACCATCAGCTTCAAGAAAAAACAAGTTTGCCTGAGGCTGCGGCTTTTGTTTCACCTTGACCAGAAAACCGTGGCAATTGCATTGCTGTGCAATCTTTGTGGTGTTGCTGCCTTAGATGTCGTGCCTCGCGCTCAGCAATTTCGCCTTGCATTGCGTTCGCCAGCGCGCAATTGCGCAGATACAGACATAGATTGTCTTCTGTAAACGGTGAAGTGCTGGCAAAAGCTATCCATCTCTGTCGGTCACAGGTCATAAGACTTGGTTTCCTTGTTTTGGATGGTCATGCAAGGTCTCCGGTGCCCACAGCCGTTTGTGCTCGGAGCCATGTCTTTTTGCTAGGGCTCGAAACCAATGAAGCCGTTTCGATACCAGTCGCTACCTCCGCCAGAGGATGTCGAGGCCCTAGACCACTCCGTTGATGCGCCAAGATGGAAGTCAAGAGGTTCACAATTTCTTTCCTGCTTTTTGTTTCTACCTTGTGTGCTTGTGATATTTGCCCTGGCAGCACCTGCTACTGCCCGGCTACAGCCAGTTCATGGAATCTGGGGTATGATCCGTAAATTCAGCATGTTCCAGTTCAGCATGTCTATGTATGAGAGCGAATTTGGGGACACGGACCCGTTTCAGTTCAAATGCCCAGTGCCTGGAGTCATTGCTGGTGGCGCTGACAACATGACTTGCTGCAGAACCTACAACAACAAGGGTTGGCCTTTTCAGTTTCGAGAGTGTGAGAGCTTCGGCTTTTGCACAACTTGCTGGGTCGAATCTGCCAAGAAAAGGATGCAAGAGCACCCCGCAATAGAATTTGTTGGTGCGGCCCATGCCGCGACCGTCAGTGTCATGAATAAGGCAGAGACCAAATCTGGATGGTTGAGCCAGACTTTACAACATGCTTTTGGTAATATCAACATGTTTTCTAAGAACCTTGTTGACGACGCGCAAGTCAGAGGCAGTTCCATGAGGGTTAGAATTGGTACGGGCATCATGAAAGGAGAGACAGACATTTGCCCTGGCATTGATGACTGGCACATCGATATGCTGAACGAAGACAAGGAAAATATTCATGCGCGTGTTTTTAAATCCCCACGAACAAAGCTGGCCATTGTTGCCTTTCGTGGCACGCAGTTCAAGTCCATGAAGAATTGGGAGGTTGATGCCGACATACAGCGAATACCACTCAAGCTGCCAAATGGAAAGGTGACATATGTGCACGAGGGCTTCTTAAAGGCCCTTGAGCACGTTCTACCACACGTGAAGCGATGGGTAGATGGTTACATCTTCGGTCTTTTCAATGCAGTTCCCAGCGATTGGAAGCTTGTGTTCACGGGTCACAGCCTTGGGGGAGCATTGGCACTTCTCGCGGCTACAAAGGCACACTTGGACAACTGGCCACGGAAGCCTGAAGCTTCCGTGGTTTTCGGAGTCCCCCGCTTTGCGGACTCAGCTTTGGATCACTGGTGGCAGACCCAAGGCCTTTGTAAGAATTTGGTGCGCGTGAACACTTACAATGATATGGTGCATGTCATGCCCTTCCAGAAAATGTGGAGTGCTCTCAATGTTGCCACTGGAGCATATGACTGCTTCACACGTCCTATGGACTGCATAAGACAGTCCGCGAAGCATGTCCAACATGCTCTCCATCATCACTCTGATGGACTTGGGCTTATCATCAGCGATCAGTGGTCGCATGTCTGTCCAGAAAGTGAAATTCTGGTGCCAAGCCGCGTCAAGGGAGTCAATGAGCAAATGGAGGAATTGTCTTTGTTTGGAGGTGTTCTTGCTCATTTGAATGAGAACTGCCTCTATGGGTACATCTATGGAGTGGCGCATAGCAACATATCTACCTTTGACAAGTACTGTCATGTTTCCCCTGCGGTCTGCGCAAACTTGTCAAATCTTGGACCGTGATCTTCCAGTCAGACCGCCCGCATGTAGAGCCATAGGGGGTGGACAGGAGCTGTTTCACAACGTAGGATTCAGGCTAGGATGCTGCGCGTCTCAAACGCGGTGCAAAAGGTCAACATTGATGTAATTTTCGTATGTTGATTTTGCTCAAGCTGCGCCTTGAGTGCCTCTCACATTTGCGGCAATACGCCTTTGCAAAGGTGTTGCATTTGGACCCTGTGATTATCATGTCTCTGGGTTACAGGCATAGTTAGGTCCGGCAATTTGAATACCGAGTTGCCGTGTGTGCAGGTCTCACAGCAGAGGTTAAAATTGCCTCTGTGAATTTGTAGAATGTGCTTGCTGCTACCAGAGCCCTAGAGCGGGCTTTCATGGCGTTGGCGCCCTGATGGCATGAGGGGTTTCCGGGCATCCCTCTTGGGGTCGCAGAAAGTGCGATAAGAGGGCAAGCGGTTGTCGCTTTCAGGGTGAGCTTGAGATGGATCGCAAGAGTGCTGCTCAGACAATTAGCTCGTTTGAAGTATTCTTGTACAGTACCTGCCCTTCCTGAATTGCTAAAGTAACCAGAGGGAGGGCTTTTGAAGTAGTCTGGGGACAGTCATGGGATGGGTTCATGCAAGGCGCTACAGACCGCAAGGCGCTCCAGCCGTGATGGTCCGGACGGCGAGGCGACATGAAAATCACAACTGCAACACTCTGTTCTATGATTGCTGCCGGTTCTGACTTCGCCTTTGTATGATCTTGCCGTTTACCTTGTCAGGTTTCAGCGTTGACATTTTTGTGAACTCACGCCTCACAGTAGTGGCACCATGTAGCTGGATTAGCTGGCAGGTGACCGCACAGACATGTGTATTGTCGGCTGATGCAAACACGCCGCCGGATCAAATACCTTCATACAGTGTAATATGTGAGCAATCGGCAGTCCGACACTGTCATCACAGCCACAATGACAACAGACTTGATAATCCAAGTCTGCCTTTGCTCTGAGAAAGCCCCAAGGACCAGGTAATAAAGCCTAGGGCAACAGCAACCGCAAGATTCAGCAATTGCAGGAAAAGTCAGGAGCTGTCGCTGCATGCCGTTTGCAGGCTGACGTTGCGAAGCCAGCTCTCCGCCGGCCGCGGCATGGGTGCGGAACTTTCATTTCCATTGCTGCTCAAAGTAGTGGGCTTGTCAGGAGACCAAAAGTTGCCGAGGTTTGGAAACAGGCATCTCTTGTCGTTTAGGAAGAACCAGTTCTCAGAGCTGGTTGAGAGGACTGCCACGATCCAAGAAGCGTGCAAAAGCAGCTTTTCGTGCCCACTAATCCAAAAGTGGCACCAAAGGTTGATGCACTCAAAGGCAACATTGCCGAGGACTTGCTGCACCTGTTCTTGTACCGGGATGTCCTTCAAGTTTAGAGTTCAAAAAGCTGTTCATCCTCTAAAGGGACTATATGGGGATAAAAGAGGGATTAAAAGGGTGAGAGGGGCTGAGCAATGAATAGAGAGGGATTTAGGGCTTAGAGAAGTGCAAGACAGGGGTTACGTAGGGATATGGGGTTCCCATAGCATGTGCAGGCATCTGTGGAGGATGTGCAGAATGTGTTGTCGAAGATTCGAGCCTCGCAAGCAAATGGTTTAATGTTAACCGGACAATAGTAACAATAATGCAAGTAACAGCTAGAACAATATCAAAATGTTAAAATTTGTAAGAACAACAATTACAATGATCATGGCAATGCTCACAATGGTGTACACTATGATCCTAGCGGTTTCTTGGCTTGTCTTCGAAGTCTAGTGTTTTAGCAGTGTCTTGGCTTGTTTCGAGATTCATTTTCTTCTGTTCTTGGGCTGGCCCCTGAGGCAGGCAGTTCGATGAGGTGCGCTGCGAAGCTGACAGGAAGGAAGCTGAGCTGCCTTTTGCCTCAGATTCCAAAGCATCCTCTTACAGCTCATCTGCAAGTCCATGTCGTCCTGAGGGTGACAATCCGTCAAGAAATCCGCTTCTGGGAGTCAGAGGCCAAGCCGCCAGAGGCCATGCAGACTCTAACAATCAGGAGTCGGTGGAAGAGACCTGGTGTGTCGAGGAGCAGGATAACTACAATGGCTTCGTTCGCACAGCTGTTGTGAAAAAGCTTGACCAGGTTTCTTTGGCATCACATTTTTTATTGTTTGTGTTGGTTGTTGCATTGAAGATTGACTAGGCGTCGACGGAATTGGAACAAGCACTGGAGACTCAACGAGTGTATCGACACATGGTTGGGGCCTTATAAGATGCCGAAGGCCCCAGTTTCTAGTTTCTTGTTCCAGCCCTGCAGGTTGAGAGGCTGCTCCGAGAACAGCGTATCCTGCAGCAGAAGGCCTCACCTACACAGCACATACGAGAGAAAGCGAGAGACATCTTGCCGCCGTCTCAGGTGCTGCTAATGGAGAACTACTTGGACAGAAAAACGCGTGAGGCACGCGCGAGAGTGGAAATTTGGGACGATCGAGTTGACGACCCCATATGTCTGGCGCTGCCAAACACGACAGCAACAACGTGAGCCATCGTTGTGTCGGAGCTTCATGGAGCTTTGTTAGCCAGGTCGAAGCCAAGCAGACCTTCAGCAGGCGCATCAATGAAGACAAGGCGCTGTGTCTCGTATCGCTGCCTTTGACTTGACCTTTTTGCTGCGAACTGCAAAGCAGGTGGAGCAGATCGTGAAGCTAGAGATGCTGGAGCAGGCGATGGCTTCTGGTAGACTAGTTGAGTGTCTCGTTGGCCATCACGTGGCAGGACATGCATCTCGAGCGCATGGTTTGCACAACCGCCATCAGCGATCTGTCGGCTGCGATTGAGAGGCCTGGCACTTTGCTGGCTGGCCCTAGTAGGACTTGATTCGAACATGCCGGGAGGCGTCGCCATGATGTCAATCAAGGTGAAGATTTCGAGAATTGGCGGTACGACATTGCTCTCGAGGTGATTCATGTTTACTGTTCCAACATGCTCTGTGAAGCATGGTGAAGATGCTTGTTCGTAGCAGCGGACTTCTGCTTGCAGGCAGCAACAGAAGCCTTTGAGGCCACAGCTGGGCGGTACAGGACCTTAACAAGAGAGCTTGGCACACCTGTCCACTTGCATTGTTGGCTAGTTATCAATTTCCTTGCAGGAAGATCTATGCCATTGAGAAGCTAACAGGTGGGCTGGTCAGGGAAAGCTGTCTTGTCTCGCCTACATCGCCGTATGCCACTGAGGCAATTGCTTGCAGCGCCTCACTTTCGACCAAGCAGAGCAGAGCCAGGTGCACATTTACGCAGCTTACGCAGCAGAACCTGTCTGTTACGATGTCCGCCCATGCAGGCGACTGAAGATGGCTTCCAGAGGATCCGTGAGGTGACCGGGCTAACGGATGTGATGGATATTGTGCACAAGTTGGAAGCTCAGCAGCGCCTCCCCACGCCGGGAGAACATTGCTGTCAGACAGCTCATGCACAGGTTTCTAAATCGTGACGTGGAACATGAGCAGCGCCCTGGCTGTGGCCCATTTGTAGCTGGGCGTGGCGAAGCTGCCTTCAGCTAAGGCTCCGGAACACGGTGAGGGAAGCAGAAGCACGACTCCACCAGCTGCGGGAGGAGGAGGTGCGCTTCACCTGTGCAGCCTTTGCCTTCGGGGACATGCATTAGATGTTGAGGCCAGCCGGCCTCGTGAAGACGTGGCTTCCTTATCTCAGCAATGTGATCCCCCTTCAGATTCCCTGTTATGGAATGGGTGGGTGTACCCCCCAATTAAAGATAGGATTCCATGCCATTACAATGTTCCCACCGATTTAATAGTCTACAATGGGGGGAGGTGAGGTCAGTGTCAGAACTTGAATGAGGATGCAATGTGACTTGAGATGGCTCGCCGGGTCTTATTCCAGGCACTCGTTGATGCCAAGCCGGAGACTCGAGGCGTGGGCAGTGTGGGGTCATGTAATGGTGAGGTCGTACAAACGAGGCGTGCTTCTTCAACAGTCATTTGTCAAGGTCTTGGAGTGGAGGTTACGGAGTTTGAGCAGATGTTGGAAGACATTCGACAAGATCACTCGGAACCAATCTTACAGCCATGTGCCCTTGACATCCTCAGCTGAGCTTTTGCTAAGCTGCGTGTCAGACTTGAGGATGTACAAGAGCAGCTGAAGCAAAGCACGCTGCTTATTGACAGTCTCAAACGTCGTGCTCCCAGCAAAGCCAGGTGGCGTGCTTGTGCTGTTTGTGTGCTCCAATGCGGCAAGGATGGACACAAAGACTGGGCAAGTCCCTGGTCCAGTGCTCATTGCCAGTGCAAGCTCGCAAACTACGGACAAGACTCACGACCAGAGCTTTAGCTGCTAGCAGGCCCCGATCCAGGAGATGAGGGCGGTTCAGGCGGAGTAGTGTCCTTGGATGAGTCACTCATTCCGCTTTCCCTACAGAATCTGTAGCTGAAGGTCAGACCTTCCGCGCTTCTTCGGACACTTAGCATGGTCCCCAGCAAGAAGCTGGCTCCTGCATGCTCCTGGCATTGCTCCGTTCTGCTAAGGTGCAGGTGGTTCATGAGTTCCTTGAGCGTGCACATGCAGAGATGCCCGATGCAAGGCAGGGCTGGATGAGATGCGGTGCATCGGTGCACGGCAAGACGAAAGAAACCTGCAGAGGCTTGTGAAGGTGACAAGCGAAGCCACCCAAAAGGATTTCAATGACCAGGGCAAGCTGCTGCATGACAAGGCAATGCCTTCAATTGGTTGCCACGGGCCTACATTGATGCGAGCCCGAGGATTTCATGCGCTCCAACTGCCGCATTGTTGCAGCTCCGGATCAGACCGTTGCTGCCTCAGCCAAGCTCGGCTAAGTCTCCAAAGGAAACCACCGGAGCTATGGAGCTACGACAGAGCTGCTGTGAGCCACTGCTCTGCAGGTGAAAGAAGACAGGCAGCATCCTCGGAGACATTGTGGCGTTGTGGAGTTCCATGTTTTTGCCAGGAGGAAGAAGGATCCTCAGACTGGTGAGGCAGGGATGCATAGGGATGCATAGGGGCCAAGCGTAACGGCTGTTGATCCTCTGAACCAGTTTCAGTTTCATGTGACTCAGGATGAGAGAATGGACATGGAGTTTGCCAATGAGCGGGAGCGTGTCAAAAAGGAGGTGCCCACTGCGACAGGGAAAGCTGGCAAGCCCTCTTGTAGTATTTGGCTGAGGCGGTCGACCGAGATTTGCGAACGCCGAAGGCCAAAGCAGCATCATCCTCAAGTTAGCACGTGAAGTTCTCATGCCCTTTGAAACATGCAGTTGTAAGGTTGCCAGAGGTCGAGCTCGAAATTGAGTTACTCATTCTGCTTTCGTCTAAAACGGGTGCCTTTGTTTTGTTGAATCTTGTTGCGAAGCGCATTCTTGCTGCAGTATCCATGCCCCTGACTGACATCAGCAGGTGCCCAGAGGCATCTTTGGAAACTGTTAATGGGATAATTTGAACGTAAGACCTTACTAACCTAAAGTCAGAGAGCTCTCGCTCAGCCAGCCAGAACTCACAGTTTGCAGAACCGGGGAGTTTTTAGCCAGATTCGATTTTCCTTTATATATTCTTGAATTCACGACATCGACCGAAGCATAGATCTTCGAAGAATGTCTTTGCTGTGCATCGGTTTACACAGGCTTGCATGTTTCAAGTTTCATGAAAATCCAAATCAGCCACTGACAGGAGTGTGCAGTGATTCGTTCAAGCAATGCAAGCTATGCAAACAAGGCATGCGTGTGTGCCTTGAAAGATTGAGCATGGCATCTTCACACATCCATCATCAATGAGCATGTAACTGAAGCATGCCAACCTGATGCCAGCAACCCCCAGAGTTTCAGAAGAACTGGAAGTAATTTGACAGCTGAGCTTGCCATGGCCGGTTCTGGCCCTCTTGAGACTGCAGGAGGCCAGCAAGGCTGGGAACGATGGTGACAGTTCATGTTTGCATGATTGACAAGCAATGGCTCCTTGTCTTTGGACTGCGCGAGGTGAGCAAACACGCAAGGATCGGCCGCGTGCTGATCGAGACAAGTACCGAGATGTGTTGGAGAAAAGGCACGGGTCAGCTAGGCATGTAAGTGAACTTTTGAAGACACAAGCGCCTGCTACGCTGCTCTAGTAAGAGTGTGAGAGAACTCCATGGAGAATGTGATCTCAAACCCAGGGCCAGATCGGGGTGCGCTAGACAGCTAGAGGAAGCTTGACAGGATAAGTTTGCCGAGGGATTCGCACCTTGATTTGGCTTGGGGTCGGGAGCGTATTGGGCCACTGGAATAGCCGACCGGACCTGGACATCATGCTGGGTGCGGGGCTGTGCCCCGAGACGGCCGTGAGGACTCTCTTGCGCCCGAAGAAGACAGACAGAGCCGCTTCCCATGTAGGATGCCGCTGGTCGCGGCCTTTGGGGGGGTGGGGGTCTTCCCTGACCGTGCTGAGGGTGGACGCGCATCCTAAAGGGGGGTCGGTTTGGGCAATTGTCCGTTGCCATTTGAGATCGAACCAGGGGAACCGAAGCCTCTCTGTGGGAGCCAAAAGTCAATACTTTGTACTGTGCTGTTTCTGCAGTGTACTGCTGAGTGGATTGACTGTCCGTCTTTACAGGTCAAAATACTCTTTTCAAATAAGGCCTTCCCGTGGAAAAAGGCGATCTTGGGAAATCTGAGAAGAAAACATTCTTTCCTGGGGAAGTCTGGATTGGCTGACGAGCACTATTGAGAACGGGAGTTGGAGAAGAGCAACCTTCCTCGTCAAGCTCATCAGTGATAAAGAGGCAAGACAAAGTGGAATGCAGGAGAGAAAAGAGAATGAAGCCGGGAGAGGGGGACATGTGCTATGCCAGTGGGAGTGAAGGAGCAATCAAGACGGCTCACACCTACAAACTTGGCTGCCAGAAATACGCGCAGGGCGGTACAGAAGAAATACTGAGGAAGGCCGCCTGCGGGGGGCAGACACGGGAGCTTCTCAAAAGCCAAGGCATGGAAACCGAAGACGTCGAAAAGCAGCGCAAAGGATCGGCATCGAAAAGGAAAACCAGCACGGAGGACGTCGAGAAGCAGGGGAGACAGGGAAAAAATCACAAAGACCTCCAGTTCAACGACAATCTCAGCTCAACTTCCTCCACGGCGCAAGTCCACGCAGACAACAAGCAAGGGGAGAACGAGACAGAGGAAGCGCGACAACGGGATGAAGTAAAAGAAGATGCAGACAGTCCGGACATTGTCCAAGAAATATTGCAATGAAGAGGAAACCGCCAAGAAAGAAAGGCAAAAAACAACTCGACAGAAGGCAGTAGAGAAGCAAAGCGCCCTGTTACTGCCGGATGGGAGACAAAGATTGCAAGAGGAGAAAAGACAGCAGCCGCAACCACAACATGCGGAGAAGGGAAAGCGGACGACAGCGGCAGCAAAGGAAGAGCAGACAGCCACCATAGGGGGAGAGCCAGAAGGAAAGTAGTGAGCCGCCGGCCTTGCCGATGAATCAAAAGGAGTGGACGAGCTGCTGATTAGACAACGAGAAAGGGCGGAGGCAGGGCGAGCCAGAGCCGAACAGCAAGGGCAGGCCCCTTGCCACACGCAGACAGAAGACAAGGAAGGCTTGCAGGACGGAGCGGCAGAAGAGATAGTGATGCCAGATCCTTCTGGAGAAGTGGACTCGGATGAGCTGGAATGGGTCGCAAGACTGGAACGCGAGTCAAAAGCAGAAACCGGCAATCAAGGAAGGACAGAAGATTGGGCCTGGCATGCGCAAACAAGGCCAGCTGAGCCGCGAGCCTGGTATGGCGCGACAGATGACGCGAGCCTGGTATGCCCACGACAGATGCCAGGATGGGTCCTGCGCATATTGCGGGAAACAAGGGAGGGGAGATACAAGCTGACCCCCGCAGACGGGGTTGAAATTCCTGCTTGGAGGCGGCCGACAGCAAGCCTGGAGCAGACGTGGCAGCCAAAAACATGAAGGGTAAATGAGTGCAACGTGTGAGTTGCCGTGAAGAAAGGGAGCACAGGGAACAGAACAGTTTCGATATAGCCCGTTAGAAACCTTGTACAGTGATGAAGGAGTTGAAAGGAAGTACGTGAGGGGAATTCAGAGTGCACCCAGGGGAGCCCGCAGCAAAGCGTGCAGGGGAGCCCTGGAAACACTGAGCCGGTGCGGGTGTGATCTAGGTGCCATGGCAGGAGCTGCGATGTAGAGGGAAGTTTCGGAACAAGATCTAAAGATTGTGCGCAAATGGTTTATTGTGGTGAAGCTCCTCAGTATATTTGGGAAGGCATAGATGCAGGGGCGAACGCTGCTGGAATCGGAGTTTAGAAGCTGCGGGTGTGGTTCGTTTACAAGGGAATGGCCGGAAAACAATTTTTCGTCGAGATGCGGAGGGAACCAAATCATCAGAAAGACAAAGTTGGGGAGTAGCGCCTAGGGGGGGAGGAGAAGAAGACGGGGAAAGGTGCAGCTTGTCCCTCACGAGATGTGTGCAGATATCTTGCATTGTGGACGTAGCCTGTCCTCTGGATTGCGTATAGCGCGTAGAAGAGAGGAAAGAGAGAGCCGTAACCACTCACTCGGGGCTCGGAACCACTCGGGGCTTGGACCCAGCTTAAAGCGTTGCTCTGCTGCCTCCCTGCGAGGGGCGTAGAACTGTGAGAAGAAGAGCTGTAGTCACATTTTTAAGATCAAGCCCAAGCTCGAGGGAAGCTCCCTTGCGCAGGAAAATCTTTCACTAAGGGACAGTTGTATCCCGAGTTCGGGTTCACTACGTTGCCGGATTGGGAACAAACCGCTTGAGCAGAGAACATTGACTTCGGGCGAACACAGGGTTTGAAGTGTTTGGTACCCGGGTAGTTCATTGTTGAACTTTCTGTGCTCCCTTTCACTCACCGTTGTGGCGGATAGGTACTTTGCGTCTCTTTCCTTCAGGAGTGGCATGCATTCTAAGACAAGGCTGGGAGAAACTAGGCAAACCGTGGGAAAGCGTTTGCGAGGAGCTGAGATGCGGGCAGACAAGACTGGAGATGAGGGAACAACAGGGCCTGATGCGGAAGGACTATGTGGCGTGCTTGCTTGCTGAACAAGTGCGGTCACAATGACAAAAGCCGTTGCAAATATCATGTAGCTGGAGCAACGTTGAGGGATGTGAAGAAAGCGACACTTGTAAGAGAGCGAGGACACCGAAAGTGATAGGAAGGCATGGAAAGACTTCCAGTACATCTTCATCCAGCTCGACGACCAGCGAAAGGGAAAAGAAAAACCCAGCAGCGGAGGAAAAAGTGGAGAGGCAACAATGGGCAAACATCGAGGAACAAAGTGGGGATTCCGATATGGCTGCGGAAATTTTAGGAGAGCCCCGATTGAAGCAGCCAAAAACATTGGCAACACTTCCACAAGCCCTGGAAGATAGCAGTTCCAGCACAAGCAGCGCTGCAACAGATCAACAAAGAAAGAGGATTCCACCCGCAGAAAGAGCGCAAATCTTGATTGGCAAAATAGGAGCCGAAGGCTGCAGTGTGGATGGACCTGGATCGGGTCAAAGAAAAGTGCGAACGCCCCCCCTAAAAAAAAACAAGAGTAGTATCACGAAACCAGAGAGAAGGAGAAGTTGAGAAGGTGGGAGCGAGTTGGACAACTGCATCGCAAAGGTGGGAGATCCAAAGTTGGAGACAACACAGCTGCAGGAGACGGAGAACACAAATCTGCGCAGATCATTTTTGAAAATGACCCAGGTCTAGAATCTATCTGGAGAAAGCACGGCTGCAAAAAACGGCGAGCGCAGAATCACAACAGATGATTCTGGCTGCGACCCGAGAACTGGAGGAAGAAAGTCGCATGTGAGTGGTGCTATGCTCTGGTGTTTGTCAAGCGTGCTGCTCCCTGCGTGTTCGGTCGCCGTGCGTATGGGCCAGGTGAGGAATTGTCAAGGGGCTAACCCTTCAAACTAAAAGCCACGAATCACCAGGTGAAATCTGGCAAAGCCCCTGAACTCAGTTTAGCTTTGCTTCGCACTATTCATTCCTTATATTGTCCCCCAATCCAGTGTCCATGGGCAGAGCCCAACATGTCCCTTGGAGAGGGCCCAAAATTCCCTTCAATGCCCGCAAGAAAGAAAGAACCGGAGAAGAACCAGAAGAGGGTCCAGGGCGTGGCCCCGGTGAGGCCGCCAGGGTCTCTCAGAAAAGTAAAAGGAGAGAGACATTCATCAGAAGAAGTAGAAGAAGAACAAGAAGAGCCAGAAAAAAGAGCGCAGGCAAGTGCGGATGCATGCTACTTGGCTTCCACAAATATTTTTTTCTGCCATAGCGTTGGAAATTGGTGCCTTTCAACCGAGTTAGCCGCCTGGGATGAGTGTGTACGCCGCGAAATCGCAGCTGCCAAAGCTGCTCGCAACGGCGGTGCCTCGGGCTGGGGCGGAAACATCCTCGAAGAGCTGTGGCTTCCAATGGCTGCGCAGGAAGCTACGAGTTCAGCGTTCAGTACGCCACATCTTTTGGCTGTGGCCTTAGCACAAGCAGGCCTGACTTCTTGTCGGCAAAGCCTTTGCAAAGGTCAGGAGTTGTACATGGTCGGCTCCTGTGAAGAGTTGGGCAGCTGGACACTGTCCCGCAAGGTGCAGATGCGAGCAAACCTGCTGGAACGGCACTGCCGAAGCTTCCCTTCAGCACACAAGGTCCACATGGCATGGACCGATGGAAACATTTGGCGAGCAAAGGCCCCTCCAACTCTGTTGTGCTTCCGCCTTCAGCTTTGAGCTTTCCCGACCATGCAGGTGGAGATTCCCTTGGAGCGCGGCGTGCCCCGACCGAGTAGCGTATGCCTCTCTGACTTGATGCAACGCTTGAGACGGAGGTCATCGAGTACAAGTACGTTGTTGCTAAGGAGGCTTCGGCCTTACTAGACCATGGTGTGCGCTGTGTGAGATAGGCTGCCAAGACGGTACTAAGCGGACTGCCAAGCAGTTGGCCGACTGAGGATACCTGCGAGTGGCTTTGACGCATGGCAGTGAGGAAATTTGCCAGTGGCCAGTGCAATAATTGCTTGCAAGAGATTTGTGGATCACATCTCAAAAGTCCATCGGGAGAGAGTTCTAGCTGGAATGGGAATTGGACCATTCTTGAATCCGTGTGCCTAAAACTGCACAACTCCTTGAACTAGTTGCCGTCGTCTCCGGCTTGTGGATGATCCAAGGTGGGAATCTGGATACAATCATCGCGTTGAGGCAGGGTTGAGAAGCGCGGCTTTGCTTTGTGCATGTCTATCAGGGTTTCGAGTTCCCATGGCCAGCTGCCGGTGAAATTTCCATTTGTCGTTCGCTTGACCATGCGTGATGCTTGTCAACTTGACTCCCTGCAGTGCCGTGCTGGCGGTGCCAAGCTTGATGATTCATGGGGTCAAGGCTGAGGCCATGTTTTCCATGACCCATGTGCCAGATGTTAGTGAGCAGGAAGTTTCACCATCGCCGGACCATGCCAATCCAGCAGTCAACAGGGTTGTGGGAGCATGCTTGCAAGCACTGTCAAACTATTGGGTTCAATGCTCCCCGCCAATTGGACCTGACTGTGATGCTGCCCCAGCCAGCAGTTGGCTTGTAGCCAAGTCCGGGGGGGGGGGGGCAGCCACAGCAATGCGGGAAGGATGATTTATTACAGAACGCAGTGGCGGCCTTAACCAGCTCGGGCAGATTTGTCAGAAGACACCTCCGGGCCTCAGCGCAGGTCATGGTTTGCTCAGATTGTGCGTTGGCACGGAACTGTTTGGTCAGAGGCGAGGGGGGCAGCTTCCACAGTACTCTGACAGTACTCCGGAGTGCAGCTGGACATCTTCGCCAGGTCAGTGTGAAGGCGACCATTATGTTGGTCTACACTTGTGCTGCGTATTGGCTGCCCCTCGTCCGCAGTGCTTCAAGTTTCAGGCCGTTCATTTGCCATTCCTTTACCCGAGGTGCATAAAGGAAGGGCATAACTTGGGCAGAACAAGGCGCTTTTGCCTCCAAAACTCATACCGCACATGTTGTACTGCTACCTGTGCTGGGGTCAGGAAGAATATCCTTGGCTCCACAATCTCGTTCCTCCTGATCTTCCGTGCGAATAATGGCTACAAACGCTACATGAAGGCAAGCAGCCCTTCTGTCCTATTTGAGGATTGTTGCCACACGCTCACATTCATGCCGTTAGACAAAGCAACAACACCCTGTGTCTCTCTTTCTAGTGGGGTTTGCAAAATGGCATGATATTGCGGCACATTTGGCTGGTTTCTCATCTGTTTGTATGTCATCCATCCATTGTACCGACCGCGTTCAAGTGTTAGACAAATCCATCAAACTGTACGAAACTCTGAGGGCAGTCAAAATATCCGTTTTGGTGAGTATCTTTGAGATTCCAGGGGTGAGGGTCCCTGCGGGACTTCTGTGATATTCCTGTGGTTGTTTTGTGATTTTGCCATCTTGTGTCTGTGTTTTGCTGGAATCTCAGAGACTCCAGGGTGAGGGTTTGAGTGCGTCTCCTGCGGTGTTCCTGGGATTTTTATTGTTGTGTTTTTCCCCGCAATCTTCTTGTGTGTTGTTTTCGATCTGTCTTTGGTTCTCGTACCCATATTCATGTTTTTCTGTGTTGTCTGTGATCGTGTATGGTTATATGGCACATATGTCATCATTAGGGAGCTGGCGGTGTCCCGCGTGTCCCTTCACAGAGGCCCGGCTAAATCTCCACCAACATTTGGGTTTTGACCAGGGGTGCAAGCACGCGTGTTCCAGTGTCCTGATCCCAATTAGGGGATCTTTTGGAACTTGGAGGCTGGACTGGACAAGTAGATACCAGCAACCACCCTCGATTCCGAAATCAGTTTACAGCGAGTGACATGACCAGCTTGATGACGCCTGGCCAGCTTGTCCTGAGCAGACCGGACACATGGACGATGAAACTGGGAAGCCGGCCGGCGTGGCAGTGTATCCAAGGCCACTGACTCTGCATGCTTTCCCAAGCTACTGCCTCCTCCCGAGAACGGAAAAGCTGCAGTTCAGTTTACAGGTATTACCAGCGGAGCATTCTTTGTGGGCATCCCCAACTTGGCGGCAATCCTCTCCATTTCTTGTGGCACCTCCATCCCCTGCCCCCCTCCTCGCACTTCACTGCTGACTCCTTGTGCGTCTCAAAGCAAATGAGGAGGTGCTAGCAAGGAAATCCGACTTGCCTTAGTGTGTCACGGTAACCCAGTATTCGGACAAGGGTCTTCTGGTGGAAGGCCACGAGCACTTCCGTATACAGTCTCAGTGGAAGGTTGTAAAAAATGGCCAGGCCGTGGTGAAACTGTTGCTGGTCCGCGACTTGTCGTGACGCGGAAAACATTGAACACAAATCTTGGCTTCGCTTGGGTTTGCAGCTCTGACTTTTCCAAAGTGTGAAGCTGTCGGTGGACCCGAGTGGTTGCGGCAGCGCCAAAGCCTCGAGAAATTCGTGGTTTTTGAGCTCCAATCTGCTCCGTCCCGTACTTAGCGCGCCTGTGCCAGCAGTGACTTTGTGCTGGACAGTGAAAACTCTGTCGGGTGTCAAAAGTATCGACAGTCGCAGAGATCGAAGGGGTCGGGTCGTTTTCGTTCGTTCTGGCTCTTGATGGTAAATCGATGCATCCATAGAAGCTTCCAAGGAGGCTTTGATAGAAGTTCTGGAATCCCTAAAAACTTCAAATTCAAGCAGTGATACGTTAACCAAAGCTCTGACAGAAGCTTTCAGAGCAGCCGTCATAGAAGCTTCAGCAAAGCATTGGGCAAGCTTTGATAGAAGCTGAAATGGAGGTATGGATACATGTTGTAGCGGAATCTTTGGAAGATTTGCTACACGATGGCTGATAGAAGCGTTAATCAAATTGGAGCTCGAACAGAAGCTTCAAGAGGAGGCTCAGCAGGGGCTCGAGCAGGACCTTGAATAAAATCTTGGTAGAAGCTTCAAAGACGAGCGTGAGCAGAAACCAATGATTTTTGTTGGTAGAAGCTTGCTAAATTGTCCATAGAAGCCTGAATGAAAGCTTTCTTTGCAGTTCAAGACTCCCAACTTCAACAGGAGCTTCAGCCGAAGTTGTCATCGGAGGAAGCTTTCATAGGAGTTTTAGTAGAAACTGCAAAGAACTGCCTAAAGACTAGAATATTTGCTCGAAGGGTTGGAGAAAGTTTTATATGATGGTCAAAACGGTGATCTTGAAGATATGTCCTTTCCTTGAGGACTTTGGCTGTTCACTGGCGCTTTTGGGACATCCGTTGCGTGGTTATGGTTTTCGAGACAGTATTATGATATGCCAGGGCCGGGCAGCTTGCATCCGGTTCTTCAGCACACTTCGCGAGATCATTTGCACCTGCAGATCTCTCAGCTTGGCTTTTGCGCTGGCGTCCCTCATGTCTGCTTTGTGCTTTGTGTGCCGAGATCTTGTGTTTCTGGCTGGTGGTGTGCGGAACAGACGCGGGCAACTCAGTCGTTAGTTGTTATCCGCTGCTGGCAAATGGCTGTTGCATGACAGTCTGAAATTCAAGCCAAGGTCTCCGGTGGCGTCGAGTTGGTCCTGGAGCTCATCCAGTCACCAAGGCTTGCATGAGTTGTTGCTGGCTGTGGTGTCCTTTACACATCGCTTCAAGACAACAGTATTCATGAAGGAGGACGTGGAGATGGATACCGATGACAAGATAGCGAGCGAGGCACATGGTGCAAGTTGAGTATAAGACAGAACGACATGGAATGGCTTTGAACAGACAGGAGCGAATGCAGGCCATTCGATGGTGCCTTGTCATGGCTATTGCCTTCCAGATGTAGCTGGCCAGCATGCTAGCGTGTCAGAAGGTCTTTCGGCACATTTGTCCGAACACCTGTTCGAAATGAAAGGCACTCGCGCCTGCTGGACCAAGGCAGGCACTTGATGGGCAGGTTTTTCAATTTTGCGCTTTGAGAGAGGGCCTTCTGGTGTTTTCTCTTGTGAGGACTCAACAAGGGAGGATTGACAGCAGAGACCAAGCGCAGGGTCGACTGGGACAGGTACCGCATAAGGCCGACAAGAATCCCACGCATGCCATACTCATGGCTAGACTCCTTTGTCGGCATGATTCAGGGGGCTGCTGAATGAGAGCGAGTTCCGCAGCTTGGAAGCGGTTGCAGCCTGCCTTAACAGTTCTCATGCACATTGTAGATCAGGGCTTTATGAAGTGTGAGGTGAGGGCCGTTGCTGCACCAAATAGCTGGGACCCACTGTATCCAAACCTCCCAGAGGTTCAGGAGATCCTGCTTTGCTGGAGCCTAGTGTGTGAGTTGCCCAGAGCTGCTGCAGGAGCTATTCGGAGAGGCGCTCCAGGTGCTGCCCATGCATTTGGTAGTTTCCCATAACCATAAGTACTCCCAAAAGTGTGCCCCTGACTTTGGAAAGCCTTCATTTGATTCCCACAAGCCTAAACCCTAACCCCTGAACCGCATGGAGTTTTTTTTTTTTTTTTTT